ATTCTTCTAACCGTGAAGTGAAAATGAAACATAAATATTGAATTCTTCATCAAGTTTGCACTTACACCACAGCCGCTAGTGGCACACCAAACCGCAAAGTTCAGCTGCTGCGGCCAATAACGCATGTTAGGGCCACTTAACCATTCATGAGATTCTTTTGCAGTGGTGTGGACAATGGGCACGTCTTTGAAGATATCTCGCACCTTTAACGGGAAAGAATGGCTGTTAGAAATGCGCATTTTTAATGTCGAATCCAAACTTAGACGTTTGTCGAATGACACCGCGGGTATTGGGTAAGTACTGCTGCCCAGCAATAATTCCTTTGACCAACCCTTAGACGTTGGCTTAGGCGTTACCGTGGGATGCTGCACAGGTACCGTAGGCGTGGAATGCTGCAGCTGATTGTCTATTTGCCCCACCAGCGTTGGCTCCAAGTCCGCATTGCTGTACATTCTGGAGCCTTTAAAGTAAACCCCATCGGGTCTTCTTTCGAACTTACTGGGGTCTGCGCGTGGAAACATCTTCCTAAATGCTCTCCAATTCCAGTAATCTCGATTATCGTGATGTGGCTGGTCCTCAATATCATTCCCAAAAGCGTCGTACATTAGTATATATAATGGATGTTATACCATCGGCACCTAAGTTGTACCCAGATGTTCCCAATTATCACACTACGGCACCAATAACGGAACCTAACGAATTAAACGCTGAAAACTTTCGCCTTAATAAAGCGAACTTAATCCTGGCTTACTTGGAAGGGCAGACAAAACACTACGAAAACGTCCGAAAAAGGTACGTCAGAGCCCCGAGTACGCTACATAAGATTTCGATAACTTCAGGGTCCATATCCGTAGTGTTAACGGGCTCCGGCGTTGCTACTTCGCTTACTGGGCCGGGAATAATCGTTGGAGTTCCTTTGGCCGGCGTTGGGGCAGCCTGTGGTATTATTTCAGCCGTTGCTACGGGCATTATGAAACAGTTGTCAAGCAAAATATCCAAGCATGACAGGACAATAGCTCTGTCAAGGGCTAAAGTAAATACTATTACCGACCTTGTTTCAAAGGCTTTGCGTGACAGAAAGATAGACGACTTAGAATTCTCGCTTATCTTAGCCGAAGAGGAAAAGTACGAGAAATTAAAGACGGACATAAGGAATAAAAAAACAGTCATAAAAGATCTTTCCGAGGAATCTCGCAAAAAGATCTACCAAGAAGCGAAAGAAGAGCTTCAAAGAAAGCTTGCTCAGTAAACATCTGCTTCGAAAAAAGTAAGACAGGATTTTGTTTACATATCGAACGCCGGCTGTCTGGTTCATATGCAAATTAATTCCTTACATTCCATTTCCCCTCGCGTACTTTTCAAATTTAAAAGTGAAAGTGCTGGTTGCTATAAGGAAGAGGAATGTTGGCGTTGCTATGTGACGTCATCGCCTGGGAATCCATCCCAAGAGGGGGTGGTTGG